GCAGTCTGTTTGGCGGCTGGTGCCTCGGAAGCAGCTGCCGCCGCAGGTGGTGGTGCCCGGAGGGCGGCAGCGGGGGTCGGGCGCAAGGCCCCGGCAACGGCGTCTTCGTGGGCCATGCATGGGCGATGCATCCTCGATTGCTGTGTTCGGGGGGGGGGGGGGGGGGGGGGGCGACGGAAGCTCCCCGCCTGCGCCCGCGCGCGAGACTCGAAGGAGAACGAAGCAAGGGGGCGGAGGGCCCGGGAGAGGCGACGAAGGCCATGCGCGCCGAGGGCGCAAGAAGAAAAGGCTGGAACAAACGAAAGCCGCGAGGTGAGTGTCAACATCTGCCCAGCCAACCCGACGCGCGGAACGCTGCGCCTCAGTTTTGGGGATCTCGAAGGCCACGGCAAAATGTGAATTCACATTGCGGGGAAAAGCAAAATGTGAATTCGCATTTTGGAAAAAGAAAAATGTGAAATCACATTGTGGAAAAACAACCAAGTAAGTTCACATTCTGGAATTTTGCGTTTTTTTCGCATTTCGCATTTCGCATTTCGCAGGTTGACAGCGTCCGGGGCGCGCGCGCCGGCGCCCGGCCCCCGGAGCTGGCGCCGGCCCCCAGTCGCTGCGACTCAGAACTGCCCGGCGAGAGCAGGTCTGGGCCCGACAGCCGACGAGGGACAGGCAGTGGTGGCACACGCCCCTCCCCCCCCCTGCTGCTACGCAAGGCGTGAGTGGCGGGAAAGCGCCGCCCGACAACCGCCGCTCTCCCCGGGGGGCCCGGGCAGCGCCGTTCGCCGGGGTTTCGGGCCGCGTTTCTAGCTACAGGCCCGCAAGCGTGCATGCCCCCCTCCTCGCCCAGAGCCACTGCGCCGCCCCCCCTGGGATAGCCCGGTGAAGCGACGCGGCGGCCGGGGAGGCGACGGGCACACACTGGGGCATGCGCACCGACGCAAGCCAAGCACATTCCCAGGGGAGGAGGAGGAGGAGGAGGGCGAGGGGAGAGAGAGAGAGAGAGAGAGAGAGAGAGAGAGAGAGAGAGAGAGAGAGAGAGAGAGAGAGAGAGAGAGAGAGAGAGGAGGAGTAAATACAACGCGAGCTGGACGCAAGCATGCCGCAGCCTGCATCATGACCAACCCGCCCGCGCACCACGACTGCGACGCACCTGTCATACCGCGAGACCAGGGCGCGCGCGCCCGCGCATCGCGACTGCGACGCAGGATTTACAAGCAGCAAAAATCAAGCGCGACACCAGGCGAGCTGCCCTCTGCGGCACCGCGCCGGGCGGCATTGGAAGCTGATAAACGTAGTAGCTCTGTAGACTACAAGAGCAGCTACGGCGCGCATGGGGCCGCAGGAGGAAAGGCACGCAGCCTTAAGGGGAAGAAAACAAAGAGGAAGACGGAGAAGAAGAGGAGGAGGAGGAGGAAGAATACGAAGGGGGAGAGAGAGAGAGAGAGAGAGAGAGAGAGAGAGAGAGAGAGAGAGAAAGAGAAAGAGAGAGAGAGAGAGAGAGAGAGAGAGAGAGAGAGAGAGAGAGAGAAAGAGAAAGAGAGAGAGGGAGAGAGAGAGAGAGATAAAACAGAAAGAAAGAAAAAAGAAGGGAGGCGGGGGAGGGGGTAGCAGCACATGAATAAGAAACACAATTGAGAGCAAGTCGTGGCACAACAAAGGACGCGGCCTGCCGGCCTGCCGCGGACTATTTTTCACCCGCTTCACGCCCCCGGGCCGCCGACCCCAGAAGCGTCGCATCCAGAAAATCATAAGGTTTATAAGCCGTGCGGCCCTAGGTCGACGGGGGGAAGGGCGACAAAGAAGAGGGGGGGCACTGGGAAATGGAAACAAAAAGGCCGCAACGGCCCCTGCAGGAGAGCGAGAGGGCACCACTCACGCATCTCCTGCCGACGCCGCGCCGCATTCTCAGCCTAATCGAGCAGCTCGCGCGGTTTTAATGCAATGAAGCCGGCGCCGCCCGCCACTGGCGGAACCGGGGAAGCCGCCGACTTGACGTCGATAGGCTCGCCAAGGAACAGAAATAACTCCTCCAAGTGTGACTCGAAGGCGGCACGCCGGCCCTTCGCCACGACCTGACTGGACCTTTTCCCTACAATCTGCACAGGCAATTTTACAGCAGGTGAAGGCCTCCACGTAATCTCAAGCCCTGGTTGCGCGGTGTCTCCATTGGAGAACGCGTGCGGAGGGGGGGCAAGAACTTGCTGGCCCTTAGCAGGGGCAGCAACGATCTGCACCCCCATTGCCTGTGCACACTTGTAGAGATCCGCGGTGGCCATGCCATTCGACGCGAAAGTTGCTTGCATCGACGCGCGACCGTCTGTGGAGTCGCCTACAAGTTGGCGCATGCGGTCGTGCCAGGCGCCCACTGCGGCATTGAGCTCGGCTTTAGTACTGAAGCGCCTAAGGGCCATCACGGCGGCTTGGGCCGCGGCTGCCTCGGCGTTCGGAAGCGGCACTGGAACCGTCGCCAGCGGGCCGACAGGGTCTGGCGGCGGTTGCGGCCGCGGGGTGCAAAAGCGCAGAAGCCCGCCCGCGCCGGCGCCCACCTTGGGCGCTGCCGCGCCCCCCCCTGCAAGCGCCGAGGGCGTGGGGGTGGCAACGCCGCGGGCGCGGTCGAGCTCGCGACTAAGCTCGGCCACCTGGGCCGCCCAAGTGGCGACTTCCGGCGGCTTCTCGTGCGCTGCGGTACCCGACACTTTGTTCAACCAGGGGACGGCGCCCGTGGCCGGCGAGGTGAACTCCTCCCAGGGCGGACGCGATGCTTGGACTGCGTCCAATTGTAACTTGACACGGGCCACCGCGCCTTCCACGGCGGCGGGTTGCAGAGGGGGCGCGATCGGTGGCCCCACCGCGCAGCGCTGCGGCCCCGTGCCGCCCGGATGGTCCCAACGCGTCTGGCCGGTTGTCCGGTTCTGAAAGTAAAGCGCGCCATTTGCTGCCCAGCGAGGCCCCCGCCCAGGCGGCAGGGGGGGGGGCGAACCCGGCGGAGGCCCAGGGGAAACAGGAACAACTGGAGACAGACGTACGCGCCGCGGCGGCTCAACTAGCCAATCGCCTGGCGGCCGCTCTAAAAACGGGGCCGCGCCCGCCGCCGTCTTGGCTGGCGGGGGGGGCGGCGGCGGGGGCGGCGGCGGCGGAACTTCAAAGGGCACGTCGAAAGGGGATCGCGCCACAATCGGGCTGTCTACCAGGGCTGAACTTTTTGCGCGATCGGCTTCGATCAAGGCGCCCAACTGGCTGACGAGGGACTCGCTTGGCGCCCGTGCCGCAGCGCTCGGGCTGGCTGGGGGCGTCGGCGACGCGCTCCTGTCTTCCCTGTCGCGGGCTTGCCCCCCCGAACGGCCCCGGTGGTTTCTGTCCCGCTTCTGCTGAGATGAACGGCGGGTTATATCTTAGATATAAGTTGAGGACGCCTGTTAGTAACTAAGTTATGACTAAGTTATAACTAAGTTATAACTAAGTTATAAATTGGCGCGTTTAATAGTGACTGGCAGCGTCTGAATTATAAGTCAACCTCTAGAACCTTATTAGAGCTCGTTGAATTACTAAAAAACAACAGACTTAGGAGGTTGAATTATAAGTCGGGTTCTAGCCAGGTTAGGTGACTTATACTTAAACTCAATTAGCCCTGAACTCTTCGACTTAGTAATTGAGTTATAATCAAGTTATATGTCGACTTAGCTGAGTCGACCTAACTCGACTTACTAAGTCGACCTAAGTCGAGTTAGCTAAGTCGAACGTTCGAGTTATTAAGTCGACGTAGTTCGACTTACTAAGTCGAACTGTTTCGACTTATAAGTCGACGAATTCAACTATGATTAATCGTTTCACATAACTTGTAAAATGATTAAGAACTGTTTTTAACATGTTTGCGGCACCTGGCCATCCACAATACCAACAAATATGTTGAGAACTTGTGATCCAGATTTCGCTCTGGTAACAATAAAGTGTTTGTTCTGGATCCACCGACAACAACACAATTTTGAAATAATGGTGCTCTGGCATTTTCTGGTAACATGTACATTAACAGTCAAGACCCTAGAACTCTCATCCAAATGCAAGGCGGCTCGGCTCGTAGCTGCTATTTTTTATGTTCAAAAAGAATGGGCGATGTGTGAAATACCAATATCTACATCGTAGGCGTACGTCGTAATCGTATCTAGCGCGCGTTACGCCCTCCACCTTGCGCCTGGTTCCGGGCGCGGTTGCGGTTGCGGCGGCGTCCTTCAGCACGCACTTCGCAACCTGGCGGGCGACGGGCAGGGGGGGGGGGGGGGGGGGCGGGGGGGGGGGCGGGGGAGGAGGGGGGAAGGAGAAGAAGGAGGAGGTACTATGTGTATATATGTACTATATATATGCACTATGGGCATACAGTATAATACGCATGTGTATTATATATGCATATGTTGGAGGGAAGATGAATGGATGCAAGGGGCAGAGGACGGGGCGGCGCACGGGGGCGCGAGGATAATCGCCTCCCTCGGGTCGCGGCCTGGGCTGGAGAGCCGCCCTTGTCCAAGGCGGCCCCGCGTCGGGGGGGGGGAGGGGGGGAAGGGGCTCCTCCTCCTCCTCCTCCTCCTCCTCCTCCTCCTCCTCCTCCTCCTCCTCCCCCTCGCCCTCCTCCTCCTCCTCCTCCTCCTCCCCCTCCTCCTCCCTCCTCGAAGACGACGACTGCGGCGACGACGAAGGTGGGGAAGGAGAGTGGAGGATGATGTAATGCATGGTGAGGAAGAATGAACTACGGAGGAAGAGAAGGGGGCGGCTTCGACAGTCGACATTTTTGTTCGACAGTCGATTTGTGTCTTTTTTTTCGGCAATATATTTCTTCATTTTTTTTCCAGCTGCGCGCCCCTGCCATGATAGTAAGGCACGATGATCTTCGCGGTCGATGGTGGAATGCGCATGTATACAACGGGCTTGACAATCGACGTCGGGTCCAAGAACACGTCTGGCGTCGCCGATTCATCCCAGTTGGTTCAAATCCCAGGGTCCACAGCGGTAGCCTCCCGCGCGTGGACTGTGATGAAATCGCCCATCGCATAGAACAACACAACTCTACCTAAACGAAGTGCACCGCCAGTGCGGATGAGCACGTAGTCGCCCCTCTTCGCGCCACCACACTTCAACGCAGCCGCTGTAGACGTATCCATCTGGATGCCTGCAATATCGAGTTTACGGCGCTTCGACGTCGATATGTACTGCTCGTCGAACTGGAACCGCCCCTCGACAACGTCTTGAACGTAACAGTTTAAATATCCAAGCGTTGTCGCGTGCTCGACCTGGTTGTAAACATGTACCACGCTCGTCTTCACGTCTTTGTGTTTCCGTTCTGGCGCAAAGCACGAAATCACCCTACCCAGTCGCAGTAGGTCGTCGGGCACGTGCACCAAATGATGAAACTTCACCTTGGTAAACGTATGGTACAATCGGCGAAGCAGTACCGCGCGCTCTGCAATGGCCCCCGAAAGCGTGGCGTGCAATGCGCCCGTCATATCGTCCTCTCCTGATAGGAGCCCCAACATGAACGTTAACAGCTCGAAACATCGAACGTGGTCCGCGGGCGCGCGGCCAGAGCACCTGTCCCGAAAATATGCCAGCAACAATGGGCAAAGTCCGAGAACGTCGCTCGCAAACAGCTTCACGTGGTCGTTCGCTCTGAAGCTCTCCGTGAACCACTCTGGCTTGGGAGGTGGCGCGGTCAAGTTGGGATGGATGTACAAGCGTGCGTAGGCGGCAATCTCATGCATATCGATATTCGACCTCTTCAAGCACGATGCGAGCGCCGCAATCTGAAGCCCCGCAACGCCATGCGATACCAGGGTGCGCTGCCAATCCCTGATGTAATTACTCACGGGGCGCAGCACGCTTCTCAAACGAGGATCGCACAGCATCCCATGCTCATTATAACTAATGCCCAGCTTCGTGTCGAGCGCCTCCACCTTCGACGTCGATATCTGCCCGACCTGCGATGCCAAGATCTCGTGCATTCTCCAGAACGTGTCGTCGTCCAGCTGCTTGAGCTTCGATTTATCTACGCAGTCCAGTCCGACGGTGTACTGGCCGTCGGCGTAGCCAGTCTTGTGGATAAAGTTCACCACGTTCATGCACGAGATGCAGGGTTTCAGCCCTGCCGCCCCTTTAATGGCCAAGAACTCTTTGTGGCCTTTTGCATCAGCCATAAAACCGACCAAGCGAACACGAAACACCCGCACGGCATTCCCATGGGGAACTACAAAGCCGCGTGTGAAGTTATGAGGCCCGTCAACGAACATGGCGACGAGAATCTGCTTCAAGAGGGCGCTCGCCCCCCCGGGAATTCTCTCCGCCAGCCTGGTGAACCCCGCCCGGGCAAAACCAGCCTCCCGTTCTATGGAGGAGCCAGCCTGGTAGCTCCAGAAAGGTGTAACCAAAAATTCCGCAACTGGCGCCCAACATCAGATCTCAAAGGGTTGCCTGGCGTCACCTCGTCACCGTAAAACACCAAGCTACAAGTAAACAGAGGTGCCTTGTCGAGCGCAGCAGGCAGCATATTGGCAAACTTTTCGCTGATAGTCGACATATAGTGCAGAGACGCAAATGGGTGTGCATATTCCCTCGGCCCGATGCCTGGGACATCCAGAGTCTGCACAACAGGTCCGTATGGCGTCCTCGCGCGGCCATGCATCTCCGCTGCTATCCTGCACTGGCGTAGCTCATCTCGTCCTCCGAGCTCCTCGTCCCTAAGCATGCCTTTCCTATTCAGCGTCTGCAGGATGCGGGCGACGCTCGCCTTCGAGCCCCGCGAAGTGGCCAGAAGCTCCGGCCGCAGCTGCATCCTCGTCTCATCATCGATATCGATCGTGGCGTGTGCGCCCCGCTTCATGTTCGCAACACTGAGCCTGAAACGGCTGTGGAAGAATGGCGATGGTGATGACGACGGCTGCGATGATACTAGAGACTGCGCGTGAGAATGCATATCTGCATGGTGAATGCAAGACGTTGTTGTGTAAATATGTATAGTGTATGTATATGCATGTATGTATGTATGTATGCGCGTACGCATGTATGCATGCATGTGTATATGCATGTATGTGTATATGCATATGTGTATGCATGCATGCGCGTTTGTATATCTATATATGTATGTATATGCACACGTGTCGACATCGATGCACATCCCTCGCGCGCGCAGCGGTGCGCGTTTTCGGAAGGAGGGCGAAACGTTGTCCCACTCTGATGCACCTTGGCAAGCTACCTTCGGCAGCAACACAAACTTGCACAAGCGCAGATAATGATGGCAGACACAGGGCCGCAAGTGAAGACCCGCATTCACGGGGGCGACTCGAAGCGGATGACGGGTCGCGATGGGAGGGGGCGGGGCCGGCTTATTCGAGCGGGAAGGGGGGGATCGGAGACGATGCCGTCTGTCGGCAAACGCCCCCATGGTAGCTCCAGAAAGGTTTAATACAATTCCACAACATGCGCCCAGCATCAGATCTCGAACGTCGACATTCGATTTACGATTTCGATGTGATGGTACTTTCGCAAAGCAGATCACACACATCGTGCGTGCTTGTGTCGCTCTGAGGCGGTTTGCAAAACTGGCGCACAACACTTGCTGGGCGAACTCGAAACACCTGCACATCACTTCCATTGGGCACCATATCATACAAAGCCGTGTGTGAAAATCTGAGGCCCGTCAACATGACGACGAGAATCTGCTTCAAGAGGGCGCTCAGTCCGAGTCCTCCTCAGCCGCTGCCTGCACAGCCGCTGCCGCGCGCCTCGAGGCCCGATGCTGGTCTCGCGTCCGCGCGTCGTCGCTGGCGGGTCCATCGCACTCGGCGTCTTCGTCACCGTCTCCACCTTCACCACCTCCACTGTCCTCTGTCGTCCTGGAACATACCGCTCTCGCTGTCCTCGCCCTTCTCCTCGGAGGGCGAGGTGAACCCCGACCCCTGTTCGATGCATATCTTTCGCTCCAAGCGCCGAACTTTGCTCCGAATCTCCCCGATGCGATTCATGGTCTCCACGTGGCGAGCCATCGCGAGAGCCTCCAGCGCCTCGATTCTGGCCGACACCTCCCCGAGCCCTCCCCCCTTTCCCCCGCCCCCCCCCCCCTACCCCTCTTCTCCCTCCTCCCCCCTTTCCTCCCTCTTCCACCCTCATCCCTCTACCAACCTCCCAGCCCCTCCTCGCGTGCGGGATCAGCCGAGGCACTCGCCGCGCCCCCCCTGCGGCGCGGGGGCCTGCACTTCTGCTGGACGTAGTGCGTCGAGCCTTTGAACTGGAGGCAGCTCTCCGCTCGGGCCTAAAGCAACGGATATCGATGTCGATGTTTCTATCGAGTTCGATGTCTCTAATGGCGTCGATGTCGATGCTTTTATCGATGTCGATTTCTTGCACCACAGAACCCCCATCTCAATGCTGGCCGATGGGCTTTCCGACGGACGGAGCTCGACCGCGGGGCGCGCAGGCAAACCGGCCATGGGAGATATATCTTTGCCTCGGGGGTCCTCCATCCTCATTCCTCCATCCCCCATCTCCCCCTCCACTCTCAATCACCCATCCCCCTCCTCCTCCTTCATGGTGATGGTGGCGATGATGATGATGGCGATGATGCTGCAGATGGTGATGAGGAAGATGATGATGATGATGGCGATGATGTCGATGATGATGTTTGGTTTTGTTCAAAGCGCGTGCCATGCATCCCCAGCACATTCGTTCATCGTGGGCGTCGATGTCGATGTGCGCGGTTACCCACGCCACCTCGGTGTCGCTGGCATCAAGCCACACCGCCCAGCAGATTGAAAGACACACTCCGTCGTCGATATCGATTGCGCCGTCAGTGACGTGCTGATCGCACTACATGCGAGATTGCACCTACGAAAAGAAACGCCTCATGCCTTTGCGCTTATGCATTGGCTTAGCTGGAGGCATGCCCTGCAAATCCAAAGCGCACAACAAGGCGCTGCACTTCTTGATGTCGAGCTTCATTCCGAGATCATCCTCATCCCGCTGGTGGTTTTTCAGCATGACCATATAGTTCACACGGCTACAATAGAAGCACACGTCGTCCTTCCCATCATCGTCCTTCTTGCACTTGCACCCCGCCTTCGCGTAGCGCCTCAAGAAGTGGTTCCTCAGCTTCTTGCGGTACCAGAGCGTGCCCCAGTACTGCGGGTATAAGATGCCGTCCTCGTCAGCACGCTGCTTTATCTGCGCCAACTTCCACGGCGTGGGCCCCTCCAGGTACGGCACCATCTTGACAGACTTCATCGGGTGGAACTGCACCTTCTTTTCCATGTCGCCCGCGGGCATGGCGGGCTTGTATGTCTTCAGCGCTGGCTGGAGGCCGAGCTCGTCATCGCTCAAGTCCATGCTCGGGCTGAGCGTGAAGCTCGGTGGAGTGAGCGCTCCCCGCATGACCTCGCCCCTCGGCGGGAACGGCATCATATTCTCCAGGCCTGGCGGGGGCGGCAACTGCAGGTGCGGGGCCGCCTCCGTCTGCGCTGCATAACTGGTGAAGGACATCGGCACTAGCTGCAAGGATCGATAGGCGATTGCGAGTCTACGTGGGCTTCGATCTTTGACGTACAACTGTAACGAGCCAAAATGGCTGGGGAGGCCGCGCTAGACGATGCAGGGGGCGGCCTCGGAGTAGAGTGAGGATAAGATCGTAAAGTAAGATGGTATACCATGATAGTAGAGCACGCCACGATGTCCGATAATCGAATACCTTTATGAGCTCGTCTCATCTTCGGCTCCAGGCTTCCTATATCTACTCTCTACTATCTTACTCTCACTCTACAATCGTTTACTGTGTTACTGCGGAGGAGGGAGAGATAAAGAGAGAGAGAGAGAGAGAGAGAAAAAAAAAAGAACACAGTGGATTTGTTCGGTTCACATTGAGGCAGTCAGAAGGGCGTCACTCCCAATGACGCGCTGCGTGCAGACGTCTATGGCGATATCGATCTGAGTCCGTGTTGCCCGACGTCGATGGCTGGATAACGTCCCCGTGGCACATGCGAACCTGACCGTCTGCGCACTGAACGAAAAGATAACACGCGATGCAACTGCAAATGCAAACGCTGTTGCCCTACACCAGCGTAGAAACAATGCTCAGCTGAGCGGGGTCGCGCTCCAATCGTGACTTCACTACGACGAGCGCCACTCCGTAAACCTCGATATCGATATCTCTGCGAACAAAACGATTGCATCGGCGTGCCCTGCAGGGAGCGCTATGCCCAGCGTAGCGCACCACCTTAATTCGGAACTCGGAGCGCTGCTGCACCGCCTACCAGTTCCCCTTGTCACTGTCGATCCACTCGACCACAGCCTTCCACGCCTTCTTCTCGTCGCCGCCGTACGCGCCCCAGGTCCCCCAACTGAACATCTTGTCCCAGACAACGCCCACCTTCTTGACCCGCCACTTGGATGTCTTCTCGTCCGTATAGATGGCATAATCCTTGTAATAGATGGGGGGCTGCTTCTTGAGCGCGGGTAGCGGGGGCGCCTTGGTCGACGTCGATGTTGGGCAGGCCTTGGCCTTGGCCTTGGCCTTGGCCTTGGCCTTGGCCTTGCCTTTGGCCTTGGCCTTAGCTTTGGCCTTGCCCTTGCCTCTCGTCGTCTCGGTCTCCTCCAACATCTTCTTGATGTACTCGTCGATCTCCTCCAGCCGTGCCGCGGGCCCCCCGCTGGCAGCGGCGGGCTTCTTCATAGCTGGATGCTGCTCCTCATCGTCTTCGTCGTCATCGACTTCGGCGAGCGCGCGCTTCCTCGAAGCTTGGAGCGGCGGCGTCCCCGAGCCAGGGTCCGGCACGGCGCCCTTTGGAGCGGGCGTCGTCGGCGGCTCGAGGGGCCCTGCTGATGAGGCCCTCCGCAAGCCCGATGGGGGCTCATTCAAGAAGGTCAGCGGGATGTCGCCCTGCCGCGGACCCCCTCCTGCCGATGCGGTGCCCATGAGCTGGCCGAACATGTTAACCATCGTGCTCATCTGCTGCATGAATGCGTCCTGATGCCTGCTGTTCGGGCTCGGGCGCTCGAACGGGACCATGCTGCTGCTGCCCCCCGAGGGGCGCTCATATATTCCGTTCGTCTTGCGGGCTTTCGTGATCTGCCCTGCTTGCAGGAGCAGGGCCTCGCTAAACTGAAGCTTGGGGAGCACGGAAGCCCCGAACACCTGCGGCTCGATCTCGACGAATTGCGACGCAAGGAGGGGGTAGTTGCAGACAGACGATTGCACCGAGCGCCTCGATGCACGTTTCTTCTTGATATGCTCCTCTGGGCAGCGCGCGACCCCCATCGGGCGCCCAGCCTCGAGCATGTAGCCCCGTGGGGTGCCCCAGGGGGAGTGGGGTCGCCTGGTTGAGGCCCCTGGACCGCCAACAAATTCAATAAAAGGCGGGGCAACAACTTGAAAAAGCTGGGTGACAACCTTGGCCCGAAACATGCGATGGCGATGTGGACGGAGAGGGAGGGGGCAGTGGGGATGGGGAGAGAACGAGAGTGTGGGTGATAGTGGTTACTCGATGTCGACACGTTCGGGGCCTCTCGATATCGACGTCGCCTCTTCCTCCTCCTCGCCCACCTTCTCCCCCTGATCCTGCCCGTATAACCCCCGACCCCGATGCTGAGACCTGGGCGCTCGATGCGGGGGTGGCGCATTCGACGTCGAGTGCGGTGTCGATGTCGAGTCCTTGAGCTGGTTCTTGTACTCGAACGCCTGCGCGGGCGTAGGCTCCCGACCCGCGGCGATCTCGCTCGCGACCACGAGGGCGGCCAAGCGAGGCACCGTCTTCTGGTCGGGGCAGTGCAGGCCGAGGGTGTGCACGAAGTACTCGCCAACCTTATCGAGCTTCGCCTCGACCCCTAGGTGGGGCT